CTTCATTTGTTAGCATTTGACAGGCAGCTTACGGATAGGAGTTAAGGATCTAGGAACTACCACTAACCCTCCTCCTGCCAAGATCGATCGGAAGCCAGCCACGCGTTAATGTTAACAGAAGTTCCGATCACTTTCACTTCGAATGGAAACCCAATGATGCTCAACGCATAAATTAGAGATGGAAAATTATCTCTCTGGGGTAAGAGTGTAAATTGCGGGAAAAGAGGGTTGTCTACATTTTCATTAACAAAACTCTTGTTAGTGACCAATGCCAAGCGACAGTTGGCCAGTACCAAATACGGGTGCCCCTTTTTCAGTAATTAAAAACGGGTTCTCATATCGAAAACAAAAACAAAAAAAAACCGAAATAAAATTCATTGTTGGTTTAATTGAATTTGCTGCTCACGAAAAGCTAACAGAAACTGCAGACAATAAAGGAGATATGGAAACGATATGGAAAGCGGTAAATTGGGGGACCCTTGAGAGCTGGAAAGAGAGTTCCATCGATTGATCATGTGTTATCCTGCGGAGCACTGCACTGTCCAGCAACCTTAACCCATCAGCAACACCATCGGCGTTGAAAGGTTAACTCTCGGCACCACTTCACGTCCAGGGACAATCGCTTACAGTTCCTTGGAACGCAGAGATTGCAATGCTCTACAATTTTGGGGGTGTTAGATGTCTTAAATTTTTAGACCCTTAAAACTATGTATTAGGTTTAATCATCTGATAAAAGCAAGACAAGTAATAATAAGTATTTTGGTAAAATTTAATTAAATAAATTTAAAATTTAAATTTAATAAAAAAAAGGTTTATATTTATAAATTGTTTATAATTTGTAAATTTACCTAAGCATTTATTATTTTAAAAATTATTATAAAAATGTAAAAATATTTTTTTTTTGCTTTTATTCTGTTTCCTTGAAAATTTATTAGTTAATTTAGATTATATAAGAAAAGACCTTAAAATAAACTAAGAAAGGGCATCCAATATTCTCCTCCATAAACCCAATATAATTCACATTTGCCTTCTTTTGTGCTTTACTTATTTTTTGCAGATCGTTTTTTACCAACGCCCACCGTTGGCTTTATTTTTTACCTTTGAGCCGTTCTTGTTGTTGGTTTTTTCGCGTTTATCAGTTGAGATCAGGCGGCGGCGGTGGTTCCCGCTTTGGGTTTAGGTTTATCCTGTCTGCCTGTGGTTTTGGTAGTCTCCTTTCTTTTGGCTGCTTTTTTTTTTTTTGGGGCAGTGAATTTTAATTAAAATATTTCTCAGGGTTTTTATTTTCTCTCAGCTTGGAGAGGGGCTAAACTCCCGCCTGGGTAATGAACAAGAAAAAAAGGGGCAAGCAGGGGAATTATCTCCACGGTCGTGAGTGTGACACATTTGTAACAGATATGACAAGCTCGTCTCGGAAGGACACCCACAGACTCATAAATCAGAGTGGCTGCGTTTTGCTTGGAAAAACAAAGCAGGCACAGGAGAAAACCCTAGAAATTGACTTGTCAGAGGACACCTGACATCCTCATAAATATTTGAATTCGTTTTCTTTGTTTTTTTTTTTTAGTTTGCAGTCGTGAAGATTTCACACATTTTTCTCGTTTGCCATTTTTTCACTGCGACGCGACATGGCGCCAGGGACACATTGCCACGGCCTTTTATGCCCCGCTGTGTTGGCCAAAAAGGAAAATAAGAACCGCAAAGGCACTATAAGAATCCTATCTATGATTATGCAGTTATGGCTACTTGGAATTCTCCATGCGGTTGGATTTATTTCGATTCTATAAACACAGAGTGGGTGGGTTATTTTACCTTGGCCAGCCGAAGAGGTGACCTGAAAAAATAAGATTGCATTTTTTATTTAATATCAATTTGTCTGCCTTTTCATTTCCCTAACCACTTGAGACTGACTCTTGGAATTTCGCATCAAATTCAATTAATTAATTTATCATTTCCCTTATCAGCTGATGATTTTCTTTTTGTTTTCATTTCTTTTTTCTGCAAATTGCCAAACTGTCTCATTAATCTTCATTAATGAGTTCTTGATGGGCGGGGTCAAGTGGGTGGTGAAATTTGTTTTAATAGTTAATAATAAAAAAAAGGGAGAAATTTTAATGTTTATTCTTTAAAGGAAAGTGAAGAAATGAGGAAATATTTTTAACTGAAGTAAAAAAATTGCTTATTAATTAGGCATATATTTCATATTTCTATTATAAATGGGTTTTCATTACTAAATAGGGATAATTTTTCTAGAATTTTTCTAAATTTCCTTTTCAAAATCACCCTTAAAATACCATAATGTTGCCGAACATGTTTGATATCAAACCAATCTGTTAATAGCCCCCTTATAACATCCAGCTTAGAAACGCACTGCTTATCCTTATTAACAAAAGCACTGCTTGCTGACTAACAGAGCTCTGTTACCAGACAAACGTAGCTTGGTTGGCAGAGCCAGCAACATGTTGCAACCACAACACGTTTGAACTGTTAAGCAAAGGTGGGAATTCAAAATTCGTAATAAAATCCATGTTAACTGACTTTCCATCGACTTTATCGGATGTAAGAGCACGGTTAATTCCCTTTATCAATTTCATCAGCTTTATAGGCGGGCCATAACTGAAAAATAATACCATGATAAACATTTAGAGCGATCTGATTCGATTATTCTGCCATTTCATCATTGCTATCATATATCACATATCAAAATTCTAAGGCATTCAAATTTCACGACCAAAATTATGCGTCACATAGCTGGCATAGCTACGAAGACGTAAGCAAAATAGCTGACAGCATGGAATATTCGTGATCAGTTTGGTATTTTTGATAACAGGGAGCAATGCTACTGTATTTCGGAGCCCGTCGTCATTCATGGCCAGATCTTCGCTCAAGAGTCTAGTGTTCTAATTGAACCTATCACAAAACTTGTGCAGTTATCTAGGTAACCAGTTAATTGGAAATTGAAACATGAGCAAAGTCCACAGCGACTGTTGCTGCTCTCGTTTTCGGGGAAGTTCCCCTTTGATAGAGTCGGGGATCTCTTATGTTATTCTGTGACAGATCATTGGAATGCCCAAACTAAACATTATTTCCGAAAACTAATATATTTGTTTATTCAAACTGGATTAATGTCATTATAATTGTGCAGTGAATCATCTTTTTAACTTTAATTTAAACCAGTAACCGATCGACAACATATTGCTAATAGTTTTTCTTAAAACTCATTTAATGTTAATTTATTTAATATATGATTTATTTATTTGTTTGTTTATTGTTATTAGCTTGATAGTTATTCTAACATGAATCATATTTTTAACTATAGTTTAAGTTACTAACTGATCAAGAACATCATCATCATGCCAAGTTATTTTATATAATATATCCTCATTTATTCTTGGACATTAGTTTAGTTTCAATCTAAAATGTATCATATTTTCTGCTTAAATCAACATATTTCTAGTAGCTCTCCTAAAACTTACTTTGGATAACTCTTAACTATAACACATTTGCATAACATATTAACCATCTTTATGGTAAGTTCCATTTATTTTCACCTTTCAGTGACCGAAATAAATATTGCTTAATTTAATCTATGTACGATTTGTGCTTTGTTTTTGGGTCGCTGGCAACAACAAGAACACACAATTTGATTTACAGCATGATCAATAAAACTGCCTGATACAACTGGCTGGCTAATCGATCAATATCAAAATGCAGGGGCCAACTTTGCTAATGGCTCGCCAACTGGACCTTGCCCAATATCGCGTCTGGCATTTTCCCTGGCGCATTCGAAGTTTTGGTTATATTTGTATACGAAATTCGAAATTGGGTGGGTGACTAGTTTGGTTTTTTGTAACTTTTTTATATAAAGTGGAGCAGGTGGACGCCACCTAGAGATCATTATCTGACCGGGAGACCTAGTTTTCCTAAATGGAGCAAACATTTCAAGGAATGACAAACGTTAGCGTGTCGGTCTCCTTATTTATGATTACTGACTGCAAGTGGGCTAAGCTTGTGGTCAAAATGGATTATTAGGAAGTGCAAAAAATCCAAAAATTAAGACTGTATTTTGGATAGAGATTCTATAGGAGGATAGATACAGATACAGATTCCGAAAAGTTTTAAAAAGTTTCAATAAAAGGTGATTAAAATATTATATATATCAAAGTATAGAAAAATATATCGTTTAGGAATCCTTAGATATTACATTAGGACTACTTATAACTGTTCTCACGATTAGAAATCATAGCCCTTTAACTTTTCTAAAACCTCCCAAAACAGTTTTTCATTTAAATTTGTCTAAAAATTTCAATAATTTCGGCATTTTCAAAAATTACCAATCATACTTGTTAGATTTCAAGTCCAACCCAAAACGATCTGCAAGGAACTACCAGCCAAGTTAGTGAGGAATTCCGGACCAGCCTTTCCACCGAACCATCTATCACCCACATGGACATGTCTGCGACTCGAAGAATTTATAACGACGAACTGTAAATGCGAGGGGTGAGAATGGCGGGGGCGGTTCGAAGTGAGGGAACAAAAACAAAAATAACAAAAAAACGAAAAACGAAAAGGAAAAACGAACGCGAGACGAACGCGGTTGGCTGGCCGGATTGTCGGTTCGGTTCGAAACGACGACAAACGCTATAGCTCGATGTTCGACGACACTCAGATTCAGATTCAGTTTCTATTCACCTTTCGTCGGTTAAAGATCGCTGCCAGCGGAACCAACGGATAACCAAAGCCAGCCAATATACCCAGCAACAAATGCCTTGGAAAATATTTTTCAAAAATTCCAAGTCACCTAATTACTTGAAATAAAACAAAAATCAAGTGAAAAGTTCGGCTTAACAGATACTGATTTTGTTTTAAAAATCGCACACCCCCAAAACCAGTTAAAAATTATATAAAAATAACATAAAAACACCTACGAAAAATATATATAAAAATATTTTCGAGTGCCCCAGTGCTAGTGGAAAAAAAAGTAAAAAATAAATTTTAAAAGTTCCCGCAAAATTAATCAAATTTTGTGCAACGCGAAAATACACACACACACAAAAAAGATATATATTCGAATAACAAAAAATACAACTAAATATCGTGTCATTGCTGTTGACAAAAAGTGCAATACAAATACAAATATATAACCAATAATAATATATTTATTACAATCAATTACACATATTGTTAATCAAAAGTAATAAAATACGCAAATCAAGGCGATATATTGCATGTACATAAAGTGCGGTTAACAAAATACAAATTGCAAGAATAACAAAAAATTAAATCAAAAAAATAAAACTAAAAAAAAAAACAAACAAAGCCATACGACCGGATTTGATTGCATTTTTTTGCGGTGTAATTGTAAATTTGTTGACGCTGCTTTTTACTGGCCCAAAGTATCAGATTCAGTTTCGCCGTTTCGAGTTTATATGAATTCTGTTTTCTGAATTTCCGCTCGGACTCGAAAGCTCAGCAGAAAATTAAAACTCTTTCGTCGGTCCAATGATAGACTCCCGACGATACTACGCACAAACCCATGTTGGATTATAATTTATACCCTTAAATTTGGGGGCTACAATGCGGCCAGAAGTATACGATGTAAGTTTGCAATTTTAATTTTAATTCTGATTCCTCATTATTTTGATAAAATTTCAATTCAAAAAACCCCTCATTTTTCGCTAATCGCTTACTCTTTTCATGTTTAGCTTTTGTATATTTTTATGAGTATTCACTAGAATTTTTTATAGTAATGATAAATTAATAAAAAGATACTGTGAAGTGAAAAGAAATTGCTTCATGGAAATAAGGCTTAAGGTTTTTAGGGGTAAACTGGAAGTGGTCATGTTGGCTTACAGTTTTTTAGATTTTTACTTTCTGAGAAAAAGTTAAGTTAGGAAAAGGAAATTATTACCAAATGGAAGGAGTATTATTATCTTACTAAAACGTTGTGTTTCAAGAATTTTTAATATTTTTATAGGATTTATTTTATTAATATTAATATGCTTATCAGCTTTCTTCGACCTCTTATGTCTTTAAAAGTTAGCAAAATTACTTAAAATTGTAATGCTTAAAATCTTTGTTCTCTAAAAAACATTTACAGTTAAGAGATCTATTATTTATGGTTATTAATTTCTTAATACTCTTTCAAACTAATAACTGCAAATCCTTAAACCACGTGCAAAGAAAGGAACACGCCATGCAGAAACCAAAACCAAACCATACGCAATCCAAGAAATAATCCGCAAATACCATGACCTGTGTTCTTCTCTCCCTTTTACTTTTCGCACAATTCCCAAACACAAATACAGAGGCAACTATAAAAACATAAATTATATATACATATATATATGAAATATACATAAAGGGCTGTTTATCTGGCGGAACGCAATTTCACTTAAAAAACAATTTCCAAAAGCACAATTATATGTTCGAAACAAGAAATATGAAATGTGCCAAAGACCAAAGACCAAGTCCGAGTTTCGGTTTCAGTTTCGGTTTGTGTTAATGTTTCAGGTTCAGGTTCAGGTCCATAATTGCCGTTTATAACTTGTTATGGCACCAACACATGCAAGCTCTCAGGATAAATCAGCGTGTGTGTGTGTATTTGGTTTTTATATGTATGCGTACAACCCCTTTTTCGAAAAAACTTTCGAGGGTTTTTCGCGCGTGTGTGTGTGTGTGTGTGTGGCGTGTTCTGATCTCAGGACATTTACCTGAGTTATAAATCAATTGCAAACGCGCCAACCCTCGGCTTAAATCGCCTTGCAAAACTCTCAGGGAAAACTAAATCGAAACTAAAACCTTTTAATTCGTACTAAGACAGATTAATTCTGCCTAATTTCCACACCTTTTTTCGAAATCATAAACCAGGTTCAACCTTTCATAAGGCAAACATTGCCACGCCCCAGAAAATATTTTTGGAGAGCCACGATAAGAAACGCGTTTTCTCCTGTAAAAATAGACAATATTTGATTTGATAATTCGAATTTGTTCGCTTCTTTTATTAATTAAACGGAAATACGTTGTGATAACACGAGAACGAGAACAGAGAACAGAGAACTCATGGGTTTGGTCTAAACTGGATTGATAAGCACGTTGGTATTTTCTTTGGGGGCCCAAAAGATGATCACAATTAGTAGAAGATCATACATAATGGTTGCCCTCTTTTAAAATATATTTTAGACTAATCTACACCCTCAAGAATTTTATTGAAATTTATGATTTGGCCACGAGGCACGAGCTCAAATGCCAAAACATCATAAATACATCTGTGACATGGCACATATTTTTGTGCAGCTTTGATTAATGCAATCGTTAAGCCCACACAACCCAATCTTGCCTCATTTGTTACCGTTAACCTTGGCCAACTGCACTCTTTTTCCTCCAGAATTCCTAGAATTTTCCCAACCCTCTGATTATGTTAATTAGTTTTAAAAACATTGAACTATCATTAAAAACGTGTCAGGTTCCTGGTTCATACTAAAAGGTTCAATAGTACGCTCATGTAAAGTGTACGAAAGTTTGTGGGAATTAGCAGATTAACAAAAGTTTGTTGGCGCCCAAAGCTGCTAAATGAAAAAAATGTCACATCCAGGTTTATAATTAAGTTACGCGCGGATGGAAAAAGCTGTAAACAGAAAGTGGGCTAAAAACTGGCTTAAATAATTGGGTCCCCAAACATATGACGCCACAAGCAGCAAATCGGAACTTGTCATTAGGAAACGTACCCCAAAGGCACGTCCCTACAAATGCTCTGTAATATTTCTGTACAGAGATAACACCGATGATGTATATAGCTTATAGACTATATCAAACGATTAGTCACATTGGCAGCTGCGTTTCAGGGGTTTCATGTACTATATAGAAAAGCCGTCGGCGAAAAGGTCGCATCTGAATTTGTTGTTTATTATTATTATCAGTTTACAGAGTAAAGAATTCGCAAATTGCATGCCAGACACACTTTTAAGCCACCTGTATACGATATTCTATATCTGTCTGGATTAGCCTTAGAGGAGTGGAGTTTTCAGTGCGATAAGGCAGCTTATTTTGGCTATCTTTGATTCGCAATCGATCGATTTTCGGTCTATATGGCTTAATACCTTTACGACCGGTTCAATGCCAGTGACTAAGTGGCCAAGATCTGTAGGCGAGCCAACCCCAATAAACCCCAGATCTGAGCCGACGGCCAAGTTCTCACCAAGTTGGTGAGTACAACTATACAAACGAGTTCGTCACTATCTTATCAGCGAAGAACACGTTCAAAATATACGCCACGGCGTACTACGCGTACTACGTTCATATATACTCGGCTATATCTTTATATATATATATATAGGTATATATACAAAATAATAACAATACGCCAAAAAAAAGAGAACCATGCGGCCGTCAAGTGTTTACAGTTTGTTTTGCTTTTTCGCATAGCACTAAAAAAGCCCTATCAGAAAAGCCCCTCCCCCAATAGTTTGTGGCCCCCTCAAAAGGGATCCTCTATGAACTTTTACTACGCTTTTTTTTCTTCTTTTTCAATTTTACAACTCGATGAAGTTTTCCACGCTGATAAGTTCGCTTTCTTTAAAGGGCAATTTGAAATATTTGCCAAGTGCAACGGCGGGAGGGCTGATTAATTGTTCGATTTTTGGCAAATATTTGCATTGCACACGTTTGTCGTTGCACCTGACCCACAAATGCTGTTCATTGGTTGTACTTTATTGGGGTTGTCATTGTTGGCTTAGTGTTTCGTAAAAGGAAAAACAAAAGAAAAACCCTACAAATACACACCCACTTTCTGCTGAGTCCGACGGCGACGACGACGACGACGTAACGAAAAATCATCAAAGATAAAACGCATCGCGATGGGAGATTTTGATGAATTAGAAAGTTATGCGGCGAGAAAAGGTGTTTCTCTGAAAGCTAATCAGCTTAGCGATTGATTTATCTTTTCGGTTTATTGTCTAGTTGATTTATTGGCAATCGACTATCGGCGGTTATCAGATATTTACAGTAATGTAAAACTCGCTTTTATAGAACCCCCCAATAACTCTTGATAACGCCTTCGATTTCGATATAATGATCGTTTCCTATTTCTTTTTGAAACCATATCAAATGTATTTGCTTAGCCATTTAAGCCGGCAATTTAGTTGGAATGGAAAACGAAACACGCGTTTTCCCAACCCCCCACCACCTCTCCTGGTTCAGGTGCAAGGCAATTATTATTTACTTCCAGTAAAAAAAAGGTGTCATATTTGAGTAGCCCGCTCGTAGTCCCTAGACAAATTCAATGGATGCACTTGCCATGTTTGCCTTAAACTCGCCATCGTCTCATCGATTTCGTCGCCATCTGCTTGTCTCTTTCTTTAACCCTATACCCCATCTCTTTCGCTCTGTCTGGCTGGCTGGCTGGCTTGCTGGCTGGCTGGCGGCGGTGTTGACACTTTGGGAAAGTTGCTGAATGCTTAACAAAGTATATTCGCTGCCACTTAAGTAGCCCGGACTTATCAAAAGGGCTGAGAGAGCAGCGCCGAAAGCCGCTTATCACCTCCGACGGTGCAGCTGTCCCGGTGGCGAAAATCGCATTAGATACAACCCCCCTCTGTATAGAGATGTATTGTAGTGGTTAGGGGAAAAAACAGGGGGTGGTCACAGAGAGAGAAAAAACATGATATTTATAATCATTAATGAAACTCCCTCTCGCTTTACTAACAATCAAGACCATCATTAATAAAAGTTTCTTAAAATATTTATAAAAAGTTAGCTTGTAATAATATTATTGTTAGTAAAAAGTATACAAACCGAACTTGCACTACTTTTTTTCCCAGTGGATTCATAGGTAAGAGGGGCGGCTTGCTAATGAGGCGAGATTTGTGTGGCGGCACGTCAACTTTTTCAGCATTCCAGAGTGTTTTTATTCAGCCATCTCCCCCGCAGCCTTGACATCAAATGATTCGTTCTCCTATATATATCTACTGAACAGTCTGAAAACAACATTAGCTTATCGCTGGGGTACACTGAACTCTCACGGATTCCCATTCCCATTCCCGTTGCTGTTACTGTTGCTGGTGCTATTCCCTATTTCTATTATATTTTTGGGGCGTTGCTTTTGGTGGCTGCAAGTTCAAGAGGTTTTCGGGTTGAGAAAGAGGGAAAGCAAGCAAAGCGAGATGGAAGGGAAAGAGCTCTTCCAAGCGGTGCCAAAAGTATGCAAGGCTTTTTGGCTTGGTGAGAGGAATCTTAAGAGTTAAGGCTTAATTAAAGTTGTCTGGAAAATGGCTAGGAAAATGTAAGAAAATTTGATTAAAGGGAGTTTGCTTTAAAGATAATTTATTAGAAAACTTAGCCATAGAACTTAAAGGGGTTACACTTGTAATTTTTTCTAATTTACTTGCCACTTTCTGCCTAACTTATTATTTATTATCCACCCCAACTCTTGATCACATTTGCATATTGTTCTACTTCTCAAGTCGCATTGAAATGCATACTTCACATTCCCAAACCGAATCTGAATCCGAATCCGAATCCAATCCCAACTCCCACTGCCTGTTGCAGTTGCAATTGCAGTCGCTGCTGAGAACATTATACATATACTTGTAAATATTTTCATATAATGCCCACCAGCTCGGCGCCCTGCTGCAAAAACAAAGGCAACAAAAAGTAATAAAAAAAAAAGAAGAAACTGGCAACTGTCAAAGTCAGTTGAGGACTTGTGTACACACATATAGAACGAGAATATATATATATCCATCCCTTTTCCAGTTGGAACTTCATTAAGTCGGGACAGAGCAAACACGTAGAAAAAGTTGCAGTTGCAGCCGGAGAGTATCAGGGGGCTAGCCGAGGGATGAGGCTTAGGGTTGCTCGGCTCGAAAAGCGCAAGGTGGATGATGTAAGAGTATTAAGTAACAGCCAGTTCCCTTGCAATCCAACCCCTAAAACAAAAGGAAAAAAATTGCATTAAGTGCAGCAGGGCAGAGTAAAAAGTAAATTACACAAAAAAAAATATCCCAACAAGGGGTAACCATTACCCATCATCATTATGATCTTTCACATATCATCATCATTACAATCAAAATTATTCGCACAATTGACAGCATAAAATTTCACACCCAAACACGTGGCAGTTGACTTGGGGGCAGTTACACGGACCTCAATTACATGATGGATTACCCCCCAGAACACGTGCCCGCAATCAGAGTTCAATGCTATCACTTTCTTTGGCCGACTATCTTGGCCAAATCTTTCTGCCAATTCATTTTTCTGTCCAAATACTTTATGGCCTAATCTAATCGGTTGCGCATTCCGCAGATGCCATATTTATTTTGTTTTAATACATATACATACATAAACATATTACGAAGTACGGAGTACAATTATATGGTTAGATGTGAGTTGGAAGCAACAAGTGTTAAAGTCCAGATGCCAACACGTGCCCCGTTCTCGAGAGACTCGCGACTCGAGACTCGCAACTCGCAACTCGAGACTCGAGAGATTCGAGGCCCAAACTAGTTTGCATTCGATTTGAATCGAATTGGAAAAGACCCGGTGCTTAGCATATTATCGATCGATGCGATCGGGGCGAAACACTTGGAGTTTAATTTTAATTTTAATTTCCAGATTTATATGTATTGGCCATTGGCCAGTGGACGGTGGCCGAAAGCCAGCACAATCGAGTGGACAAACTAATTAAAGGCCTGAAAATGTCGCCAGCGATTAGATTGCACATTTCAAACAGTCGTTGTTGTTGCTGGATACTATGACGTAGATAATATTACGAAAGGAGGTTCCACTATTTCGTTTTTTCCAGACTTTGTCAATGAAAAGCTTCCTCGTTCGGGTGGTCCCTGTTAAGAAAAAAAATCTAAAAAAATAAAAATAAAATAAAAATGTGCTCACGTAGCAAAAGGAAAACTTATCAATCCAAAAACTATAGCTATTTAGAATTCAGAACACATTTAAGGTGGCCCCTTCGATATTGCGTAAGTCCAAGACCAAGGAAACTGGGGACTCAGCATAGAGGGGCCCTTCTGGCTCCGTTCTGAGCTCCTGTCTGCATACCAAATAAGGTAATTATGAGTCGCAGAAGGGAACAAAAGTAAAGCACAGACAGAGGCGACTGGCCCATAGAAGCGGTATCGTGTTACATACATGGGAACCGCTTGTGCACTGGGAAAAAAATTTTTAAAAAAATACAGGAAAGGTTTTCAGGGAAATATAAATCTACTTACTCTGCTCATTATTTACTTTATCATTTCATTTCTTTTGTTAACTAACAATACTAATTCGAATTATTTTAGACATCTCTTTTTTACCTATAATTTCTCTCTCTGTTAAACCGCGGGTCATGCGTTTGGAGCCCTTTGTCTGGTCTTAGAGAACTCCTGAACTTTTCAAGTTTCGGTTTCAATTTCAATTTAGGTTTAGGTCTTTCTTTCTTTTTTAGGTATGCGGTTGCCAGCCCACAAAAAAGGCTTTTCCCTTTTTCCCTTTTGGTCTAACTACCTAAGCTAACTGAAATTTCGTAAGCCACTCTCATTGATCTGTCAGCAGTAGCTTCTTTATTTACTTTGAAAAGCCAAATTACTGAGAATGCTGGCTAAGCATAAATTGGCAAGGCTTCAAGTTGATTTAATTGCTTGCCAAGCTGGTGAAATAAAAAAAAAAATAATATAAAATAAATGTTGTTCCTTCGGCGATGCATTGTGAAATTTCATTTAGAATGCCAATGCCGGCGTGTGTGTGTTTGCACATTTCAAATGGAACTTCATTGTCTGCTGTGAAATTGAAAAATGATAAAAATCGCACGCCAACAGGCATTTGATTTGCCAGAGGGAGGTTATTTTTTGTTTTTATTTTTACATTTTTTTTGGGACTGCCCACTGAGAGGGTTAGGGATTTCGGATTTGGTACCAAATTGCTCTGCTCGCCTCCTCCTGGGGCTGTTTTAACTTTTGACTCTCGTTCGTTCGTTCGTTCGCTGTATATAGTATATTGATTTCTTGAGCTTGAATTCTTTGCGTTTTCACTTTTCAAGCGCAGAACAGTGAGACCTTCGTCTCAAGAAACTACCCTTCTGGGTCTTGAGTTCTGTTCGTAGTTCTTGTGTTTTGTAGTTTTTGTAGTTCAGTTCAGTTCAGTGCTAAGCTGAAATCAATGACCTTTTGGGCCCGGGGGATTAGTTGGTCGTGAAACAGAATATGCAGTGCGGAAAGTACAACAAAATATGGCAAGACTTGTTCGGCTGAATCGATAAAATAAAAGGAGAAAAAAAAAAACAAGAAAAAACAAAAAATAAAAGCACATTTTTCTCTGGCGTTTTCCGAGTGGCCACTTGTGGTCACTTGTGATGGGGTGACATTGAGCCAGAGGCACTGGAAGGGCTCTCCATGGAAATCCAATGGATATATATATATATATATTTTGCTTATATAAATACATTTTTAAAGATCTCACGATCGGCCGTTAAATGACTTAATTGCTGTTTAAGACGGAAGTTCGTCTCGGGAAACAAAACGAATATAAAGCTGAAAACAAATCAATAAAACCAATAATAATCATTAATAATAATCTGTAAGATTTATGCAAATGCTTCTCCTTTAAGTCACAACTCAACTCTTTATTTATAGTGGCTAGCGTAATTTTGTTTTGAATATTAAATATTGAATACTGAAAATATTAAAATATTGAAAAAAACTCATTTCGTTTATTTTTCGCCTACTTACAGGTTACCACAGTCCATGCTGACCAATGTCATAACTATTTTTACACTGGTGAGTTTTTGCCCTAGTAGTAGACATTTTTACTAACTTCTTAAACTTTAAGATGGGGTAAAAATTAAGGTTAATTTACTATATTACCCAAGAATACTTTTAAGTCACCTAAAACCTTGATCCAGTTTTGTCTTTTTGGCTGGGCGAAAAGCATCTGGAAATCTTCAATCTCAATCGAAAGCTGTCTTGTTTTCAACACACTCCGAATAATTATCTTGAGAAATGTCAAAATATTTTTATACGTTCGAGAGATTGAGTGTGTGTAATCGAAATCGGAGTGTGGGGGAAGTTTTGATATGGGGAGCGTGTGTACATTGGAGTGGCTCTCCGTTTTTTTCCCCCTCTTTCTGTTTTTTTTTTTTGTTGTTGTGGGGTCTCTCCACTTGAGGCGGCCCATAAAAAAATAATAATAATTATTATTATGATTATGATTGTTACACATACACGCGAGGGGGAACGTCATTGAACTATGGAAAAGGTCGCACGGCATATTTTGGTTTTTTTTTTTAGAAGTGCAAACAGAAGGCCTTACTTCCCTCTCTCTTATCCATCTTTCTGGAAAACTGACATTGTGTCAACTTTAACTTGAAAGATCAGAAATACGAGAAATGTTAACCTTGTTAACTTGGGGAATACGAATGGAATTTGTTATAGTTCCATAAATTGTTCGGCACGCGTCGATTTTTTGGCTTGTTTTGTTTATGGTTTCTGACCAAAAAAACCCATCGCTTACCCACGCCAAATCCCTTTTAAGCCCTCTGCAAAAGTCAAGCGTTATTTTTGGTCATTCGCCTCCTTAAAAATAACTAATAATGCTTACTGGCCGACTTTGGTGCCGTGTGTTATATACGCCCCATGAGCACATTATAGAATGTTATGATGTATGAGAAAGGTCCGATTTAAGACCCCATAAATACCCGATTTGCACTCGCCACGCTATATATATGTCAGATGTCTAGCCCATTCGATTGTTTTGCTGATTTGCATATTTTGTTTATTATATATTATCAATATGATAGAGTAATTGTGATATCAGACGAAGAGTGGGTCGAAATTTGATTGATCAAAGGTCGAAAACGTGCCTTGGGTTGGTGGGCATGAGACATACACGTGCCAGGTGGTGAAATATATCTTTCTGGAAGCTTAAACTTATGTCAGGTGATTTTTAATAGGTCTAGATTGTGATTATTACAAAATAGTGGTAATATCAATTAGCATTAAGGAAACTCTACAGATTATCCACTTCGTTACCAAGCAATTAAAATTCCTAATGGTAGATTTTTCAACCAACCGCCTCTTCCAATTTAAATGCATGGGAACGAGACACTTCCCATATGTGCAGAATGTCAAAGCTTAGGACAACATATCCCATTGAGAAACCAATTACCTGGACTACCATACCGTACCTATCTGCCATAGGAAATGGCCAACTTGTCCAGTGGGCTCAACTTTGACCATAAAAATCTCGTGTCGCATGTGCTGCGTCGGGGCTGTGTAATAAAAAGCTCATCGTATTAATGGAAATTTATGGGGCAAAAAGGGTTACTCTGGGGCAAGGATTAGTCGCCACCAGATGTGGCTGTAATGCAAATGAATTGTCCATTAATCGAGCTTCTCTAACCCTCTTCTCTCTTCTCTTCTCTCTATTCCAGATTGCTTTTGTGATGCCAGCAGGCGCCGCGAAAAATGTTCTAACATTGAGCAAACACAGCGATCGGGCGCTGCACATCAATTCGCACGGCAAAGTGACCGCCGAGAACATATTGCGATCATATCGTAAGTATATATATTATATATATATCATAAAGTAATAAATTATACCGATCTGGAACTGAGACGGCACTTACTCATCAATTACCATTGGCATTTAAATTAAATTGGCATTTATACAAGTACTTCTATAGATGCGTATGTTTGCAGATAAAGTAGGGCCTGCTTAAGGGGGAAAAATATGAAAAAATGATTTTCAAAGTTGAAAAAGATTTTATTTATTTTTAAATCCCTTTTTTATCTTTCAAATTAGTCTTTAAAACTGAAATACTTTCCTATAAAATCATTTCAGCAAGTCTAAACTAGCCAATTTGACCTGTAGCCATACTTTGAACTCTGTCTGGGTCTTGGCTCTTCATCTGTGTCTGTGCATATTGTGTGCTTAATTAAATTATTGGTAATTTAATATTTGATTGATGTTATGAACCGCGCCGAACAGCGCCCATTGCGGTTTCGCCTTTGTTTTGTTTTTGCCCAACTGGTCTTAATTTATACGGAATTCATTTGCTGCGGTTTCCAGGCCTCTGGCATTTCTGAAGTTCACGAACAGCCCTCGTTTTTTGTTATTTCTTTTTTTTCCATATTCATTGTGGGTTGATGGCTGAGCGAAAGTGACAAGATCAGGCGCCGCCTTGCGTCACTGATAAGTCAAGGAAAGAAGCGACTTTTACCGATCCACTGGCTATATATATATGCGTAAATTTAATACACAAACTCAATGAAACGGAAACAAATTTTTGTCAGCTCCGGCATTTTATCTTATCGGAACTCAGGTGCTACTGGGGCAATTTGATCGATTTGCTGGGTCTTCGAAGGTCTTTCCCCAAAAAATAAAACTCAAAACTCAAATCCAAATCGTAACCCCAAGTCAAATCGTTTGGAATTATCAGGCTTAGGTGTATTTTCAGGGTTAAAACCTTTTGCTAAGTGACTGCAGAGAGTTCAACGACTCAGCGCCATTAATTGACTTAGTCGATTTATTGATTCGATCAAATGTTCCACTGAAAATGCCACACATAGTTTCACATTCTAATCGAAAGCCCCTTCATAACTTTATCAAAAACCTTTCAATTAATTGGGTTATCTGTAAAGGGGGGCTGCTTGAAGTGGTTCCAGTTCCAGTTCCATTAAATATTTACACAATAACCGTCGCTGGTTTTTGTTTGCCAATAATTAATTAATTTTTTTTTGGTTTTTATTATTTGTCTTTTTTTCACATATAGAATACTTCACCATGAAAGCTGTCAACGATGTGTTCAGCTTGGATTTCAAAATCACCATCTACTCGGCAGATGTAGGCTACTATCTGTGCTTCCATCAAGGCAGACTGGTTGGAAAGGTGAGTTCTTGTAGATATTAACTTGGATATTAGTTTTAGTTTTATTAGTCATAAAAAATTCATAAAGATTTTTGACAAATTTCGCGGTTTTCTTGGTTCTTAAAGTAATGGATATTAATTTTATAAAAATAAAAACTTGACTTTACTAACTTCCCTCTCTCTCTTCTTTTTTTTTTAATTTTCACAGAAAAACGCCACAAAGGAATGCCATTTTAAGGAGCAGATTTTTGGTGGCCATCAAAACTTCAGCAGCGCCTACAATCCAATGCTGCGAGTTGGTTTTAAGGGAAACTTAAAGCCAATTGGCTTAAATGATTTTGCCAAGCCGAAAGTGATGGAGAAGGCCATATTATTTTTCTTTCCTTTGAATGAGAAGAAGTTCAATTTGCATTTGGCAAACGTATTGAGCAAAAGCTCTACTACCACAACAACAACTACATCAACAACAACCACAACAACAACAACAACCACAACACCACCCAGTACTACCAAAATCAGCTCCACAACAACAAAAACAACAACAACAACAGCTAACCCAGTGGCTGTCACAAAAAGGACGCGTCCGAAATCGCGTCGCCCAACAAGTATTAATAGCGATAGTAGCAACATCCATAACCCTGACAACAGCAACAGTAATAGCCTTAAGTCCTACAACCAAGCCAATAGCAACAACAACAATAACAACAACAACAACAACATTGAGCTGGATCCGCAGCAACAGGAGATCCTGCAAAGGAATCGCAAGCTGCATCGCCGCCTGAGATTGCAACAGAAGAAGCAACGAATGCTAGAAAAGCAACAGCAGCAGCAACATCGCCGTCGCCATCGGCAACATGGCACATCGGGTCTGATGGCCCAACCGCAGCCCAAAAATCTGGTGGTCCGACATCATCACAATAATTCCACCATAATGGAGCGACGTAGACGTCGCCGTTTGGAGCGGCAGCAGCACAAGTTGCAGCGGGAGTTGTGGGAGCGGGAACAGCGAGAGGCGGGCGATAAGGAGAGAGAACGCGAGCGGGTGGAACACCTGCCCAAGGCCACCTCCTCAGCCTCATCCTCATCCTCATCCTCGTCAACGGCCACATCAACGGCCTTGACTGCCACAGCTGCCTCGTTGGCACCCAGCGCTTTTAATCTGGTGGCCATAATGGCCGCAAGTCGTAGGAAGCGGGACAGGCGAAAACGCTCGACAGGAGCAACAGGTGGTGCGGGTGGGGGTGCAACAGGTGGTGCAGCAAGGGGAGGTAACAATAGTCCACCCGATGCTGATATGCAACTGGTTGAACTGCCCTCGCAGCGATTGCAGCAGCAGCAGCACCAGGATGAGCCACAAAACGAATACTCAAAACCCTATGTTAATAGTAACTTAAATTTAAACTTAAACTTAAACCAACTAATTGATAGTAATAGCGCTAATGTTAATCATGCAATACCTGCCTTGCCAAAAAACTACAACTACTTGTACAGTAACGAGCATTATAATTTGAATACTAAAAGTAGCACGACTGATTCTAGTAGTTTAGACGTTAGCACTAAGTTCGATAGTCCAAATAGCCATAGCCCTAGCCATAGCCATAGCCCTAGCCATAGCCACAGCGCGTTCAATCAGAATATTGACAATAATCTTAAGCAATTAAACGATCGAATTGACAATGTCTCAACTGAGAAACCAGTTGAGACATCCGTGACCCAAGATGACCAAGGTGACCTTGAGGAGACAGTTAACGAAGAAACTGTTGTTGAGAATCGCAATCATATTGATGCTAATAATATAATCGACGATAGCTATCCGAACGATGAGGAGCACGAAGAGCTGATTCTAAAGAAACTTCTTCGTAGCTTTCAAAAGCTGCAACAGCAACATGTGCAGCAGCAACAGCAACAGCCACAGCAGCAGCAACAGCAGCAGCAACAACCTAATATTGATAACCCTAACGTAAATATTAATGTTGTTAACAATAATCAGAATCATAATGATAATGGGCTGCTGACAAATAATAACCATAATAGTAATTACAATGAGCAATTTGCGAATGACGATGAAACGATACGAATTCAAAATAATAAATATGAAACACATATAGTACAATACAAACATGCGGTATTTATTTGGAAAATAGTTGGGGGTTTCTCTGGGAAATTATCTCTAACTTTCAAGCATATCATTTTTTTAAGGCGTCGAAGGAAGGCTTACAGCTAAAGGAAATAATCGTAGTTTGCAGTTAGTTAGCTGCACGAAACAGTCTTTCGTTTAGCTTTACGCCTTGTTCTTACCATTTCATGACTTAAAAAGCTAGACAAATATTGCAAGAACTGTTTGGCAATCTTTAGCCTGATTTTTAACCAAAAAAAGTGGATTTTGTTCAGATCAATGCCAAAAACTGGGAATGGATATGGATATGGAATGTTGAACTCGTAATTAAATTTCCAGTCGACTGACATTCACACTTCAAAATGTACGTTTTTGTCCATTTTTTGCAAAATTTGATGGTGTAACCCCTTATCATAAATGCGAAAATCGTTACCAGGATTTCTGTTCCAAAAGTCAGTGTTTTGACAATATCAAAGGTCGGAACATGGAATGTCATATCTCGTTGAGCTTGTAAGTAAATTTCTAATAGAACTGTATTCTCACCTACAAAGCTAAAACTTTGTTCATTTTTCGCAAAATTTGATAATGTAACCCCTTATCAAAAATGCAAAAATATGGCAAAAATTAGAAATTGCCAAATCAGTCGGACAATGATAAAAACTTTAAGTTCGGGTCGTTAGCTACACAAAACATTCATTCTTTTAGCTGTACGTCTTGTTTTGGCCATTTTATGAATAAAAATCTATAAAAATTACTCCAAAAATGGCTCCAAATTGGTTATCCTAATTCTGAGCTTAGAAACTCAGTATTTTTTCTAAAACAATGCCGAAAGGTGGTCAAAATATGGTATTTCATACCTCGTTGAATTGAATTGAATTAGTTATGAAAATTCGATCGGTATTTACATCCAAAAATTGTATGTAAAAAGTTTAAAAAAGACGGAAAATTATACAAAACATAAGTTTAATTTTCAGGATACCAATTCGTGATTTCATCCCAGAATATCAGTATTGATGAATTCTTTTGCTTTATTATTAACATTCATAAAAACATGACTTATAGTTTTTCCTTCAACAAAAAACCTTATCAGCTTAGCCATGTGAAAATTTCCCTCAAATAACATCTCGCAATCCGAAAACATCTATGGGCCACATTTTTGTGGTCACCCAATTTGGGTATTCAAAATGCACATTCCAGCAAATCGTAAAATAAAAATCAACGGAATTAAAATCAAAACATAATTCGAAAATCGTGTAACAATTGATAAGAATCTACAACAATGTGACAATGTGTAAATCTCCTGACTGCCTGACCTCAATCTGTTCGGATAACAATAAATTATCTGGCGGCCAAAAGTCGCCACAAAGTCGCGTGCAAAACGCGTGGGCGATTTTCAAAAAATATTTCCATCACATCTTCTTCTTTTGTATTTCGTATTGAGAGTTCGATCCAGCGTTGGAAACTGTGAATATGTGATAGATGTTTCGAACCATGTTGACACCGCATAAATCATAAATAAAGATTTTTATATTAATTTATGCAAAGTACCCGAGATGTATGGCGTGTCTGAAATTAATTAACCAGCGTTTTTCTGTGTCGCAGCGACACATGCAAATTTGGTTAGCTTTTCAGGCCTCACATCGCCTAGGATTTATCAACAAACTACCTGAGCTTGAACTGTCCAACAGCTCTGTCCAGTCGACCGACAGCTCTGGCCAAAACAAAGATCTCTCACTCTCCCTCGATCTTGGCCAACTGGCGCCGCTTGTCTGTGATCGCGCCCCTAAGCGAAAAACTCCAAAACGAAACGCGCCACGCCAACGCCTTAGACCGACATTCGGAGTCGGCAAATGCTGCTAATGAAATTTTATTATACTCTAACAGCAATAATTTATAAATTTGTTTAACAAAAAATAAATTTGTTAAGCAATAAATTTAAATACGCAAAGCACTTGCCACTTTTTTGTAAGTCGCTCTGCGATCTGTCTGCTACGAGGCTATCGAGATGCTCTCACGGTTCGGGTTGGTATTTTTTATCTGTAGAATTGATGATAGAATCTTTGGTTTATTAACTTTGCTTTGGGAGTTTGTCATTGGCTAATATGGGTTTTCAAACCAAGGGCACTGATCACTGATCAGAATCGAGAATCTTCCATTTAAAATGTCTTACTTAATCGGAAATAATCGGTAAATATTAAAATAATTCATTATGTGTGATGAGAATAATTAAATATTAATTAAATATTATAAACAGCAGGAGGAAATCATTATATAGATGTTTGAAGATTTTATCTGGATAGCCTAAGATGGAATTAATTTTCCATTAACTCTCACCACTTTTTCTATAAATACGTTTAGTTTATTAAAGAAATTTGTATTTATTCTAACACTTAAGAGCAGACCTTCTAATTAATAGTATATATTATTACTTTACATTAGAAAAGGCATTTTGGTAAGCAATTTATTTAGATTTATTGACTTTTAATTACTGCGGAACTTTTTCCAGAATTATTATTCACGTTTTTCCATAATTTTTGTTAGAAACCTTAAAAAGTGACTAGACCCACCCATCGCATAAGTTTAACGCTTTGTCCGGCACTTAAATGTTACACCTTCCCTGGCTGGATGAGCAGGTTTTTATTTATGTTTGGATTTTTTTTTTGGGATAGAGGGGAAGGAAGTGGAAAATATCAAAAACCCAAACAAATAAAATTCGAAATTTGCATTAGAATACGTCTCGGTTTGGCGTCAAAATAACTCAACGGCAAATAGCTCACTGGTTTTGAGTTGAATTTATCACCCAAGACCAAGTCCAAGAACAACATATCGGTTAGGAATGTCGGTAGATATATATACCTCTATATATATTTATATACATTATATTTAATTTTATTACTTTCTTGGATAAACACACATTTTTTTGTGTGCTAATTTTCGGCCAGGCGCCTTCGAAATTTCATTTGAATTTTGTGGTTAAGATTTTTTTCTCTTTTTGGTATTTTGTCGAATGTTTATTAGCCAAATTAGCGTGTCAGGTGAAATTTAAGCAGATTTTAGTTGAGCATCGCCGGCTGTTTATGGGAAAATGATTAGATCCGCTTATGGCCGGGTATCGGTGAGTTGTGTTTTTATGCGTTTATTTTTATGACACTTATTCTAATGAAGAAACATTTTAAGCTATGGCTTAAGTGACGGAAATGCCAGAGCAGTCTAACAGCCAGCAGTCTACCCTTCTCCACTTTCCGTGCCATTCATATTCATGTTGATTTTTTAACCATTTTTCAAGTGCAGCTTAAGCGGGGCTTAAGCCAACTTTGACGACAGGCGGCAATTACGATCGGATTAGTTAGCATCTTAATTTAATTGTTGCAAATTAAATTTGCATAAAGGAAAAGTTGCTGGATATGGGAAAACAATTTTCCATTTAACTTTGCTGATGTACAAGTTGATGGTTAAAATTCTTTAATAATCTTTATTTTATTTTTAAGGATGATAAGATTATGCCATATCTTATCTTAATATTTATTTGTCTGTTGATTATACTTAATAAATTTCTTATATTTTCCTTCAGGCTTTTTCTCATTTATAAATCATTGTGTAAGGTAAGGTAAGGAACGCCCCCCTTTGTTTCAAATGACAAAAGCCGATATATAAACTCGATGTGTATTTGCCAAAAAACGTAAACACTTGGAGCCATAAAATCAGTTCCGATTTATGGCCATTATAATGATATTTATAGCAATCCACTAAAGTCACAAAAAGCGAGTTAATGATGACCAAAAGAGAAAATATGCGAGGCTTATTAACAATTTGGCGCCATTTAAACGGCGACGAAATCTTAACATGATTTTTTTCGTTTTATAATGCAATAACTAAATCTGAAAAAACGAATCTGTCTTCTATATATCGACGACGACGACGACAACAATGTCGGGAGATTTTAATGGCATCGTTAAAAGCTTATATCGAAAGGGAACCATGACGGCATCAAAAAGTCAGAAAAAACAAAACGTTTTACGACTTCGCGCCTTAGAAGCAGCTCGTTCTTTTTGGCTTATACCGAGATACTGTTGTAGAATTTTTTTTTTTTTTTTTGTGGATTATATATACGATCCGATCAAATCCAATCCGATGGGTGGGAATTCCAATGATTAAGTAGGCGTAAGGGGGGTGGGTGTTCCAACCGGTTAGGGTTTAAAATTAAAATCTGACGCGCACTCAATTAAGTTTATTGCATTGCAAATCATGTCCGTAACCCATTTTTATGACACTCTGAAGGTGTCAAGATGATTTGTCAATGTTTGGCCACGCCCTCGTACATCTCCGCCCTCATAGTATTCAGCCCGCACTCCCCTTCTTAGCCTCATCAGTACTTGGGACATCGTAAAAACTGACGGTAAACAGTTAGCCCAGACACTTGGCCATCTGTTGCTGTGCCACTTGCACTGACGGAATGCTAACTGTTGCTCCCACCTCGCCTCGACATTAACTTTAAGTTCGACGTCCAAGTCGCCTTCAACTTCGACTTGGATTTAGAATCACTAAAAGGGGACACTGAAAGAAAGTTTGGGTTTTATAAGGAAATTTGAGGTTGGGAAATATTTTAAGCAAATTTTTGTAGATTTGAGAAGGGCTTATAGAGCTGTCGAATATCCTTAAATTGTGAGTTTTTCATATTGATCATTTTAGGCATAGATTTAAGAAAATGTTAACCTTAAAATAACTTTAAAAAATTTTGAAATTTTGATCATATTTTTGCCTATATAAGTATCTTTAAGCCTCAATGACATATCTCTAATATTTCGCTGTGCTATTCGTTTCGGGATTTGGGCTCAGTTCGGTTCGGTAATTAACCGCACACTGACCTTCCTCATTGCAGTTGGTATTTGGTAGTTGGCAATAGGCAATAGCCAGTTGGCAGTACTTGGGTTTTGGCACCTTTTGCAAAGCCAGTTTCCGCCGGCAGTCGGCAGTCCACTTAGTATGTGCCTTTTGCAAACAATCATAACTGTTCAGCTCGTCAGTAGCTCATTGTGTTCTAAGATAAGTTTTCGGTTTTTCTTCTACCCTCTCTCTCTCTCTTTCTCTTTCTATTCTATTTTCTATTTTCTATTACTTTTCTT